AAATAATCTAGAGATGATGTAAAGTATACGGGAGCATGTGCACAGGCTATACGCAAATACTCTGCCATTTTATATAGGGACTTGAGCGTCCCAGAGTTTGGAACCAGCAGGGGTCCTGGAACTAGGGATGACTGTAACGAGTAAGGAGAATGAATCAGTAATCAAAAAGCTCCCATAAAGAAAGCCCAGGACCAGATGGCTTCACTGGTGCTTCTACCAAACATTTAAAAAAGAATAAACATCAATCCTCCTGAAACTCTTCCAAACAATTGAAGAGGAGGGAACACTTCCAAATTCATTCTGTGAGGCCAGCATTGCCCTGACACCAAAGGCAGACAGAGACACCACGGAGCAGTGGGGGTGCATGGAGGACACGAGGAGGGGGCTGGGGACGGGAGCCCATAGAAGGGAAGGGAGACACACAGAAATGACATTGAGAGGTCTCAGTTTTACAGCTCTGAGGAGGTTTCCGCAGCCTCAGAGAGATGTCTGAAGGTTAGAAACTGGAGGCCACCCAGCTTCCTCCTGGGATTTCTCTGAAGCAACTGCTCATCTGTGAGAAGGAAGCTGGATTTCTGCCAATCACTCCTTCCCAGCAGGCCCTTAGGTGACGCCCACCCTCCTGACCTGGGACTCGAGGTCCTGGGTGGGGTCTGACCACTAGAATTCCAGAAAAGGGTGGAGACACACAGCCCAGCACCCACCTTCCCCAGGTTTCTGTGGGAGGGGCACGGGGTGCACGGGGATATATTCTGGGCCTCTGAGGAAGCGGCTCCAGATGCTTGTCTCCTGAAGGCAGGCTGAAGCTGGTGGGTGAGTCAAGGGGGGAGGGAGCCGCCTGGCCAGCATAGGGGGCTGCGGGAGGCATGCAGAGGGGTGGGCTATGGAGGGTCAGGGTTCGGGGAGGGGAGGTGGGATCCTGAACCTGGAGCACCCCAAGGAGCCCGCTGGAATTGTGCCATCTGCAGGAGCCATGAAAGGCATCCATCTCGTCCTGCTGGCCGTCCTGCTGTGCTCTGAGCATGGTGAGTGCCAGGGAACCCGGCAGGGACCTGTCCTGGTGTCATGGGGCAGCAATCCCCTGTGACAGGCTGTGTGGAGCATGTGGGGAATCTGTCCTCCAGGACCACGGAAGGTGGGAGGGGGCCACGGTTCCTAAGGAGGGGCCCAGAGGTGGATGCCCAGAGGCCACGCTCCAATGTGGGCTGTGGTTCTGGCCTCGGGGGGTCTAAACCCAGCCTTCCTGCCATCTGAGCTTGGACCTGTGTCCCCACTCGGCCCCAGCCCTGAGCCTGCAGTGCTACAACTGTACTGACATCCAGAATGTCAGTAAGTGCCAGACCAACACCTCGTGTGAAACGACACCCAGCGTCTGCTATCAGGGCAGCATGATCTTGACCGCGGCCAGTGGTGAGTTCCCAGCATCCAGAGTGTGCGGGCGGGTTCAGGGGGATCTGCTCGGAGGCTCCCCCTGGCCTCGGGGAAGAAGTGTGAGTGCAGCAGGGGCCAGTGTCTGTGTCACCTGGGCTCTCGCTGGCCTGCCTCAGTGTTCCCATCTGTGCAGAGGGGCTGGCCTCCAGATCTGTGGGGGCTTGTTGGAACCGGATGGGCCTCCCAGCAGAGCAATGGAGGACCAAGCACTCCAGGGGAGGGGGTGATGAGAGACATCCCCAGGAGGGTCAGAGGGAACTGGAGGCCTCCCACGCCAGGTGTCTCCTTTCTCGTCCACAGGGGAGACGCTCACTGTACTACCTAAGGGTTGTGCCTCTTCCTGCGAGGAAGCTTCCCAGTTTCTGCAACAGACTGCGGAGACAAACAACCTATCAGGGGGGGTTCAGTTAAAAGTGGAACATGTGCACTGCTGTAAAGAAGACCTCTGTAACGGGGTGGCCCTGGTGGGGCGCAGCCTCTGGGCCCTGGCCGGGGGGCTCCTGCTCAGCCTGGGGCCTGCCCTCCTCTGGACCCTGCTGTGAGGACCCCAGGGACTCAGACAGCAAAAGGAGGAGGGACATCGTTACTGATGGTAGTTCCGTGTGGCATGCACAACAGATCCCACCTCAAGCATGCTCTCTCAC